TGGGGGATGATATATGGGAAATGATCCTGGAAATAAATGTGGTGATAACTTTTTTGTATCTAATTGTTCTACACAAGGCTTTCTTGTTGGTAAAGAACAGAAGCCACTCAAACTAATGCAAATGAAAATGGGATGAGAGAAATTGTAAGATTATAGCAGGAGATCTCTTGTGTATTCAAAAGTAGTTCATGATCCAACTACATACTGTCTATAAGAGATTCACTTTATTTATTTATTTTCAGTACTGGGGTTTGAACTCAGAGCCTCATGCTTGCTAGGCAGGCACTCTACTACTCGAGCCACTCCACCAGAAGGCCAAAAATCACATGTTCTCCCTCATATGTGGATTATAGACCTGAAGCTAATGCAGTAATATTATTGCACATGGGTCACACACTAAGGGGAGCACACACACAGGAGGAATAGGGAAAAGGAAGGAAACCAAAAACTTGAATGTCATTGATGTGCTCACTGTAGAGGAGCGAATAATCTTAAATTGGCAGAGGTCACTATGGGAAGGTGACCGGAAAGTAGTGAGGAGGTCAGGTAGAGATGAATCAATTCGGGTTGTAATACACATGTGCATGGAAGCAATGCGAGGAATCTCTCTTTATCCAAAACTAGCAAAAACACCATGTCTTTCTTACTAGCTTTTATATATTTTTTCTTCTACAAAATCGGAGAACAAGAGGGCAGAACAGTTTCTGCCTGGAGGTGGCGGGGGGGTGGGGCAGGTGGTTCTAATAATGTATATACATGTAAATAAATGCAAAAACAACAAAATAAAATAATAAAAAGAAAAAATTAATTAATTAAAAAAGAAAAACCAAAAGTAGTTTATGGACCAAAAAACAGGGACCCTCTGCATGATCTCACTCAACTTCTCCTCTTCTGTCTGCTTCGTTCTTTTTCTTTCTCTCAGTTCATCTACTCTGCTTACTCATTTTCTACATGGTTAAAATATGGCTGCAACGATCACTTCCTTGACATCAATATCTTTTGTTTTCAGCATCAATCATTGACTAACTAAATTCTGTCCATTTTTCTGGTTAAATGCTTACGAAAAAGAGAAACTCTTTAGTAGCTGACCAGGCAACTCATTAACTGGTTTAGATGAGCTATCCAGATACTCCAGTTCATCCAGCATCACTTGTAAACAGGAACCAGGCAAACTCAGCTGGAAGAGGAACTAGACTAATAAATTCCATGTGCTACAGACATCAGACATGCAGGGAACATAACATATAATATGTTCTATATACATTTGAAAAGTTTCTGGTCTGTTTCTCTGCTTCTAAAAAGGATTTATCCAAACTTCCTTCTGAAAGAGCTGTGATATCCTTAACTGAATGTTCACTCCAGCATTTCCTAAACTATCTAAGCTTCAGTTTCCCACCTGCAGAATGGGGATAATAATACCTACCTGTTATGGCTGTCTGGAATAAATGTGATAATATAGATACCATTCCCTGCTTGGTACAAAACAGGGACTTAATAAGTGGGATTTCTTTCATTTCTTTGATGTACCATGAATATTCAATACTAGAAAATTATTTGCATTGTATTTCATTTATTTTAATTACACAAGTGATATATGAACATATCAATTAAAAAACAATCCTAGATATCATTTTATTTCACTGGTCTTTAATAAACAAGGTCTCCTAAGAAACACATGACTGCAATATTATCATTTCATTTAACATTAAAATAATTCCTTAGAATAATAATCACCAAAACTACAACTGTTTGATTTTTTTTCCAATAGTCTCAAAAATATCCTTCAATGGTTGTTTGATTTGAAGGAAAATCCAAAAGAGGACCACACATTGCATTGTGTTGATATGTCTTCACATCTTGGTCTGTAAATATCCTCCCTGTTTTTCTATGACACGTATTTGTTGAAAAAAGTGGGATCATTATTCTTGTAGAATTTTCCAGTTCAGAACTTGGCTGACTTTATCTTCAACTCATCATTTAACAAGTCCTATCTGCACATTTTCTGAAAACTGGTATATAAATCTAGAGACTTAATTCGATTTAGATTTAAATTATTCTTTTGGCAAAAATATAAAAGAAATGTTTTATACTATCTTTTCTTTTCTTTCTTTTCTTGTGGGTTTTTTGAGGCAGAGTCTCAGTATACAATCTAGGCTGACCTGGAAATTACTATGCAACTCAGGCTGGTCTCAAACCTGTGATGCTTATAGGTTTGCACCACCATGCCCAGCCTATATTATCTCTTATGTTTTAAAAGTTGTGAATTTGAAATAGTCATTCAATAGTTCCCATGGCATTTTGCACCTAAGAACATAAGATTCCCAAGAGAGATGAGGGTAAGCTGTTCACGTGTGTTTCTGACTCATGCATGAGTGAATCACCTTTATTTAAAGACCTGATGGTACTTACTACCATTATTTGCCAGAAAATTTAGGCAGAAGTCATAATTGTCATTTTAGCCTAAAAATTCATTAGCAATGTCTTAAGTTATATGCATTTTTGGCTAAAGATGTTCACATACTTTTAATTAAAAAATCATTTCCTTGACTGGCTTACATTCTAATCTAGGAATAAAAGTGTTTAAAATGGCTAATGAATAGAGAATAAAGTAGAGGAACAGAGAACTTTCCTTGAAAATTTTATGTCTCTTATAATTGTTCAAAATGAAAGCAAACCCAGTTATATTAAGCAGGACTATGGAAATGTTCTGAAAATTGGGGGCTTTGAGTGTGTCTAATAAATCATGGCCCTCTCTTCTTTACTTGAGTTGGGAACAGAGACCTAGATGTATAAATCAGAAGAAAATGCTGAAAATAATACAATAAAGATAATATTTGATAAAGCTATCTGGAGAGTGTGACTTAAGTCTACAGCAATAATGAATTTGTAGACACTCTTATCAAATATCTTAGCAAACTGTTCTCCTAGTTAAGGACAGATCATGGGTCTCACTGAGCCTAATACACAAGCCAGGTTCTTTTTTCCAAACTTGCCACCTAGTAACTCACTCCCCATTGCCTGGCAGGAGGAGGAATGCAAGTGAGTTGTCAGGGTGTATACAAGAGTGGTAACTCAATGGAGGTCTAACCAACGAAGAAACAGTGGACGCACTGAAGTCCATGATATAAAAGAGTATCATAAGTAGATCCAGTTTGAACATAGTGTTTTCAGCAATGAACAGCCTCACATTTAGTTGGCCCCAATTCATATCAACTTTCACTTTATAGCAGCTAAGTTCCTCAATGAGATGGAGTTTGTGGGATGTACTTGTATCATGGTACAGGTGGATGTCAAGGTAGGAAAAACCCCACACTGTACTCACCAGGACTCATCCTCTTGTGAGTTCTCAGATAAGTGCATCCAAGATACATGTGTGGCCCACTGTGCTAGGCATCGTGTGGGAGTTGTGTAGACCCATATGGAGATGTGCTGTCCAGGCCTCTGGAAGAAGAGATGTGCCCAGCAGCAAAGGGTTGCTAGCTAAGAGCCTCCAGCTCTTTCTTTCAAGCTGTGGTCATGCTTTCTTGCAGTTCCTGCCCAGGAACTGAGCCAGGTAGTAACAGAAGTCACATCATTCTTGGGGGTGGTAAAACAAGTGGCTGGTCATTTATATCCAGGGAGTACTCCTCCACTGGGCAATCTATGCTCCCAGACTTCCCAAAGAGCTGATGTAGGTTGACCAGCTATCTCAGTTTACTGGACTGAAAGTTTTCCCAGGACATACAACTTTCAGTACTAAATCTGGAAAATTTCCAAGCAAACCAAGATAGCTGCTCACTCTTCCCAGTGTAGACCTTGTCAGATTAGTATTATGGTCAGAAAGCTCCCTCTGCCCAATCCTGCTTCCTTCCCTTTTTCTTTTCAGAGGTGCTACTCCCCAATAAACCTTCTGTACTCCTGACTTCTTACTTACGTCTGCTTCCCAGAGCATTTTACTCAGGTCAAGGACACAAATACCTCACAAAGCAGTAAGGCCCTAAATACTTTAAAAGAAGATATGCTGAGGGAGCCTACATTGGAGGGCAAGGGAAAGATTAATATGACGGTTCCAGGGCTACCCCTGGGTATAATGTTTTCTTACTTTTCTTTTGCTCTCTTTTTTATTAGTGCATATTATTTGTACAAAAGGGTCTCATTGTGATAGTTCTATATGGGTATAAGGATTCTTCATTCTTTGAAAGAAGAAAGTGGCATGCTTAAAATATTCAACAACTTGAGCTTCCTTGAATTATATGTGTGAACACTCAAGATGCAGGTTTTCCTAAAAATATAAGAAGCCAACCTTGTCTCTGTGTCTCAGTTTAAACAGCAATGTGCTTTGTTATTAATTTCTATGACAAGAAAAATGAAAGGAATATCAGCTTTTCTGAGAAGTATTCGTAAAATCAAGAGAGACTGAATTATACAACCTGGTGACTATAGTTAACAACAGTGTATTATATTCCTGAAAATCACTAAGAGTCAATTTTAAGTGTTCTCACAGCCAAAAAAAAAAAGGCAAAAATCTGAGGTAATGTACATGTTAATTAGCTCAATCTAGCCTTTCCAACAATGTGTGTTATATTATATTTGATAACATCATATTGTACATAACAAACATGTACAATTTTGTCAATTTAAAAAATTATGTAAAAGAATTTTAAAACCACCTCTAAACTGAGAGGGAGAGAGAAAGACAGAGGGGGAGAGAGAGACAGAGAGAGAGAGAGAGAGAGAAAGAATGTAGGCATGAGAAAAATGTTACTGCTGAAGAAAGAGGAAGAAGACATCCCTTAGAGCCCAGCATAAGGCAAGGGACATGCCTAAGGTGCCAAATTTAAGGAGACACTCACTATGGGGTTGTGTGACTTCACAGCTGGCATATTCATGAACTTGAGAGTGAGTACTTCCTCAAATATTGCACTTCAGGAGCCTGATTTGCCTCACTGTAGTCGTGACCCTGGCATCCATAATAGTAAAAAGGCACTTATGCAGGACATTCCCTCTTTACTGCCCAGGTACAAAGCCATTGTCCGGCCAATGGATATCCAGGCATCCCACGCCCTGATGAAGATCTGCCTCAAAGCTGCCTTGATCTGGATCGTCTCCATGCTGCTGGCCATCCCAGAGGCTGTGTTTTCTGACCTCCATCCCTTCCACGAGGAAAGCACTAACAAGACCTTCATTAGCTGTGCCCCATACCCACACTCAAATGAGCTACACCCCAAAATCCACTCTACAGCTTCCTTTCTGGTCTTCTACATCATCCCACTGTCAATCATCTCTGTCTACTACTACTTTATTGCCAAAAATCTCATCCAGAGTGCTTACAATCTTCCTGTGGAAGGCAATATACACGTCAAGAAGCAGGTGAGTGCCTAGCATTGATCCATTTTCTCCTTGGAGATTTGGTCCTTGCATTTCTTTTGGATCCCACTAACAAGTACAATATTTAGGTGGCCCTGTCACTTGATTTTGCAGTTAGAGGAGATGGCAGATGCTCTTTTAAACTCCAATCATGTTGTTTGGCTAGGCAGAGGGCTACCATGTGGAGACAAAGCAGATATGTGGTTGAAGAAAAAAGAAGTAATTTGATTAAGACAGGCTCACACTGATTCAAGTCCAAGTTCAAACTTCATGATTTACCTTCTCTGGGCCTCAATTGGGTAATAATACCTTTATCATAATAAAGTTATTGGAGGATTATGAGAGAGAACATATGTAAGGTCCAGCGTTCCCAGCTTTCATGATGCTCTCCATATGTGTTAGCCTCCCCCCTTTTATAACACCCCTATAATTTCATACTTGAGGTGCAGATAGGAGAAACTGGGGGCTCTGGCTTTCTTGCCTTTGTCAGTCCTTCTTGCCTTCTAGCCCCGATGCAGATCACGTGATATATATGATGGAAAAGCAGAAAGACCCCCCGCCCCCCACCTCTATTTAAATGCATAGCTGGCCATACTTGGAGGCTTTACACTTCAAAGTTCTTTTGTTTTAGCGCCTCAGTTGCTAAAGACAAGTGGCAGTGGCAGTTGTCAGTGAAACTGTCTCCCTCCTTGAAAGACTTTTCAGTAGCAAAATCCATTGTATCCAAAATTCTTTTCCTTTCCTTTCTTTTCTTCTTCTTCTTCTTTTTTTTTTTTTGTCAGTACTGGGGTTTGAACTCAGGGTCTCATGCTTGCTAGGCAAGAGTTCTACCATTTGAGACACACCCTCAGCCCTTTTTTGCTTGAGTTTATTTTTCAGGTTGGGTCTCATGCTTTTTGTCTAGCCTGGTCTCAGCCCTCAATCCTCCTACCTCTGCCTCCCACATGGGTGGAATTACAGGTGTGTACCACCATGTCTCGTCCTGATACCCCAAATTCTTTAATGAGAAAGAAGTTTCCCCTTGAGGTAGCAGAAGGAGTAGGGAGCAAAAGGAGGCGCTCAGCCCACTTTGTTTAATAACCTTCCTGTTTAGTGTAGTCCAGAAATAACTTGAGATTAAAAAATAATAATAGGAAGTTGTCTTGGCTTGGCCAATGAGGAAGAACAGAGCTGGCTGCTTTTATGAGCATCGGAGGGGATAAGAAATTATTAACTGTGGAGCAAAGAAAGGCATGCAGTAGTGTGGTTGATAAACTCCACCAATGCTCTCTGGAGGAAAAAGAGGGCACTTGCGAGGATTTCATTGTGCAATCCATTCAAGCATGTAATCAACTTTCTTTAAAGATCTCTTCTCGGCAGCATTTTCTAACTCTATTCAGCCTTGTGGATTTCTGCTTTCTGGCTTCTCCATCTCTCTCTCTCTCTCTCTCTCTCTCTCTCTCTCTCTCTCTCTCTCTCTCTCCCCTTCCCTTCCCCCCTTTTCATTCAGTCACAATTTTGGGGGAATTAACTTTTATCCCCCCCCATTGAATTCTTTTTTTTGGCTTTGTATGCTCACCTATTTCTCTAACTGTTTGTCCCTGTCTGATGTCTCCCTTCCTCTGACCCCGGCCCCTGGTCCCTCTGTCTCTCTCCATGTGATTCTCTCCTTAGATCGAATCGAGGAAGCGGCTTGCCAAGACGGTGCTGGTGTTTGTGGGCCTCTTCGCCTTCTGCTGGCTCCCCAACCACGTCATCTACCTGTACCGCTCCTACCACTACTCTGAGGTGGACACCTCCATGCTCCACTTTGTCACCAGCATCTGTGCCCGCCTCCTGGCCTTCACCAACTCCTGCGTGAACCCCTTTGCCCTCTACCTGCTGAGCAAGAGTTTCAGGAAACAGTTCAACACTCAGCTCCTCTGCTGCCGGCCGGGCCTGATGAACCGATCCCACAGCACCGGCAGAAGTACCACATGCATGACCTCGTTCAAGAGCACCAACCCCTCCGCAGCCACCTTCAGCCTCATCAATGGAAACATCTGTCATGAGGGGTACGTCTAGACTAAGCCTGGGTCTTGCCTCCCTAGTGACTCCTGTTTTTGCTTCACGGCTGGCCAAGAGCCCTTGAATCTGTTGTTGTTTGTGTACTCTCCAAAGACCCTCCAGGAGTCTGGGTGGTGTAGTTGGGTGGGGGAGCAGCCCAAATGGGTCACTACAGTGTTTCAAAGAAAATTACCAAGACTCATTTTCTCTTTTCAACCTGAGAGCACTTCTGATAGATAGCAAATCTGCCCTGTTTGAGAAAAGAGAACAAATAGGAAATTATTATTTTAAGCATCAAGCTCTGATTTACAGGTAAGGCCAATTAAGTCTTGGAAGGGTTATGAACAAAGAGATTAATTTAGAGAAATCACCATTGCAAGTTTACTTCGTGAAAGATTTCGCCTTGGTATTTCTTTTGGCAGAATCTAATGCTTTAAATGTGACTTGACTCCTATTTTTTTTCAGGAACATCTAATAATACCAAGGAACAACTTTTATTTGCATCCCTAACGTGAAAAGTCAACCATTTGATAGGGCCTCATACAGGAGATCTCCATCTATAACACTGGAAAGCAGTTTAATGTAAAACAAATCTCCAAATATTCATTTTTAAAATGATGTGATGAAGGACATAGGAGAAACGCTCAATACATAATTTTAAAGCAAAAATGCAACCAAACACATAGGCACATACACTAAGATCCATGAGTGGCTATAGAGTGACATCTTCACTCTGACATCTCACTTGATGGAAGTTGTGATTGTTGTTATCCAAGTTTAATCAGCATGGTGCCATTTACCAGAGAAGAAAAATCCTTATAGGGAATAGAGATGATCATGATATCAACTATTTATAAATGCATAAAAGATGGTATTTGTTCTGGATGTACATGTTTTGAGCCAAATGTATTTACATAGATCCACTGTCTTTGTCTGCTACATTGAAACAGTAGTTTCAATACAAGAAGAAGTGATCATACATGAGGAGAAGTAGAAGCATGTTTACATTTAAGCTCTGGTTCCTTGAAGTTTGTGAAGAAAATGAATACAATTTCAGTAACACATATTTCTGTCTGGATATGTATAAGAAAGTCTTTAAGAACCGATTTTTCAAAAGGTACATATTTGCTTCTACTTAAAAAGAATATTTATGAAATAGCCCATGTGCAGAAAAAGATTGGACTGAAATCCTTTTCTTTTTCTAAGTGACTAAAATTAGTTCCAAAAAGTTTGAATTATATTATTTTAGAAACCCTGATTTGAGTTTTTCTGGACTCAAAGACAGGTCAATTCTGACAGATTGCAAACATGTTAACTTGCTTTCATGGGAATCTAAATTATGCAAATGAGCCCTAACATATCCCTTCCATCCCAAGGCAATCTTAGTCCAGGTTTTCTCTGCCTAGGTGAGATAGAAACAGTCCACTCTCTTTTCCACATGGCATATATGAAAAGCTTTTTGTCTCTTAATACAAAGGAGTACAGACCTTATGGGGTTAGGACCAATAGAGTTGTAAAGGTCTGTGTTTACAGTTGTTTTAGCTGGAGTGAAGTTTCTTCCCTTTTGCTCTCTACACGCTCTTATGTCCTATACATACTTGTTTCACTGGTAATCCATAATTACATCACACAGTTTGAAAAGCAAGACAGATAACAGAGCCAAAAAAAGCAAGATTTTTTGACATCCCAATTCTGACTCTAGCTCTATGACTTTGGCTATCAACTTCCCTTCTCTAGTCTCAGTTTTTCATTTCTGGAATGAAAAGCCACCACTAAGTCCCTCCTATCACTAAAATTCTCCCAGTCTCTTCATCATTTCTAGTTCTGTCTCAAAAGCATTCATGTCCTGGTACAAAAGGAGACAGACCATTCTATCACTTCCAGGGAATCGTTGGACTCATTTGGATGAGCTTGCCATGTTTTGAAATTAGAACTGAGAGAGACATAAGAACACATATTGCTCAGTCTCATTACTCACAGGGTACCCTTTGGATCCCCCTTCTTCAACTTCCACGCACCTATTATCTTGAACTTCTGTTCCACAATTTTGCCCGTTTGACTACCTTCAAAACCTTTGTATAGAAATGGTTCCATGCCTAGTTAGTTGCTAACATTAATAGCATTCTGGGTGCCTAGAATTCTGGCATATAGAATTCTGGGTACTAGTTCAAGCATCTCTGACCTGCCTGCTTCTGGAGACATGTTGGGAGCAGGACTGATCTTCCTGTCTCTTTCAGTTAACGTCCTGGCATAGATTAGGTGCCACCTTCCCAGCTTCTAGACAAAGAATGAGAAGATCAAGATCTAGGTATAGCTGAGTGTCCTTTAGGCAAACCTTGTTACTTCCTTGAGACTCTTAAATGAAAGTGTTCGAGCAGGTCATTGGTCAGCCAGTGACTAAGGACTGGTACAACTATTTTGTAAATGAACTAATTGATTCAGATCTTTTTACTAAGAAGGATCTAATTGGGCCCTTCTCTAAGGAAAGCAAAGTTTTACTTCACCTCAAGAACCTAAAAAATCACATGAGGGGGACCCAAGACCCATGTGTTATCATTTCTCTACCAGGGCATAGTGTGGCAGGGACTGGAGCTGAGACATTTCACGCCTGGCTTCCAAAGATAATCATGTTTAGTGCTTATGTCTTTGGCGAGGAAAAAAAATCAATTTTTGCTCTGGAAAACCATCTGTGTTTATTCAATTGACAGATACTACCTTTCAATCTATCTTAAATTGAGCCTCCCCGAGGCAGGCAGCTCAACAATGATAGATTAAGCAATAAACAAAGCAGTCTTTCCACCAAGGGCTGCTGCTGGCAGGGAAGGTACAGCTGCTCTTGGGAGTGATATCCCACAGCAAGAAGCAAGACAATCCTCCCTGCTTAGTGCGGACAAGACCCCTCCCTGCTGAAGACTTTATGATTCCCTATAAACGTGGATGGCTAAACCCTGTTCTACTGGCTTCTCTCACTCCCCCACCGAACCTGGCATTCTGCCTCGTTAACATACCCTGGATTTCCCTCTTTGCCCTGCAATTTAGTTTCATCTTGGAGGATGGAGAACCCTAGGTAAATAAGTGATTTAGAGGCTGCTACAGATGACCGAGCTCATCTTGTTACGAAAGTGCACATTGAACTTGCTATAGCACATGGACAGACTCAGGTTACAAAGTTCTCATGTGTGCCAAGGATAGCAGTTGGTTAGTGGTTCCAGAGTCTCTTCACACACCAAATGGCTTCTGGCAATAAGGTTTCACTTTGTTTGCAGATGACATATTCAATGACATCCTCATCTGTGGACTTAAACATGGCTAAGTCACTTTTCTCAGAAGTCAGATAGAAACAATCACCCTGAGGACCTGACTAAATGAAAAATGAATGAATGATACCCCTTTGTATCCTGGTAAAAAGGATGGGATACAAACTTTCTTGCCTTCACATCCACACCAGAAAGGAGCGGTTGTTACAAAGTAGGCTGGAATTAGCCTTGGGGTTCTAGGAGGACTGGAGCACATTTGTTTAACCTTTTCCACATTTTCATAAAATGAATTAACAGCTAAAAACAAAGGAATTCCTCACTCTTGAGGGACCAGACTCTGTGTATTATGCAATGAAATCAAGCCTTTACACGTTCTACTTTATTCTTTATCTGGGTAGTTGTTCCTCCCAGACCCACCCAGGGGTCCCTCCCTACAACACAAACACACAATAGCTTTAATATTGTGCAATCTCTTACTATAACTTTGGCCTTCAAAGACATCCTTTGTTAGGTGAAGGTATGTATCTGGAGCAATCAACAAATAGCACAGAGAGAACAAATTTTCCTCTTGAGGAAGCTCACATTAGAAATGCATTCAGTGAAATTTGAATAATTTTTCAGTGTTGCTCATATATTAAATTTAAGACCCTTTAGGTTAGAATATTACATGTCCATGTTTTATTCAAAAGAATATTTTGCACTTACCTAGTGTTCATGGTCTATAAAGCACTTTCACACTCAAACCTAAGACTTCCCTGCTGGCCAAAGAACTGCTTTACACCCATGACTATAGAAATTTATAAATATTAAATTCACTTACTAGTGACCATCTACCATTAGATTAAAAGGCCCACAGAACTATGAGGCTGAAACATGAAATTTTCTATTTTCGACCATATTTGACCTACAAAAAAGGTGATTTCATCTGGCCCAATTTAATCTGATTTTGTTTTGCTCTAATGTGAACTAACCATGCTTTATTCTCATGGCCTGTTCTAGAATAACGAAGAATGGTGCCGATCATTGCTTCCCCAGCTTACAGGATGTTTGTTGCCCCTCAAGTAAGTTCGTTTAACTTGGCACAAGGGAGTTATCAGGGTCAATGTTAGCTGTCCCGGGAGAGACATATTAGTGGGAACAACATTCCATGTCATAATGGAATGGAAGGCTAAGACACTGAAGGGTGGGATCCTTGGGAACAAAAACACAGGACATAAAATACGTTGCACTTGTCCAAAACCTGAATGGAGTCCTGTGGCTATGGAAGTGCTGGGAAGGAGGACTTAATGTCACCAAGCACTGATAATGTACCAAGTGCTGTGCTGAACACATGAAACCATGGCTCAAGGACATTACTGAGTGATTCTAAGGTCACATGGAAGCCAAATGGCAGAATATAAATGTGGATCTGAATCTCTCTCGAGTCCACATCTGTACCCCCACCCAGCATTACATCCCAAATCCAGACTATGGGAGAAATTAAGCTCACAGCACCTACTAGAAAGAAAGCTCTGTTCCCTACACTAGGCTGTCCTAAGGTCTCAAATAGTGAGAGAGTCAAAGAATACATGCAAAGTGTTTCAAAACACGTAGGTTAAAGACTCACTGAAAGTTGAGGCTGAAATGCAGAACCAAGCAGTTGAGCAGGTAAGTTCCATTAGTTCATTTTCTTACACCCTCACCCCCACCCAGAGACACAATTCAGTTGCAAGCAGAAGTCCTGGGAAGAATTTCCCACCTGGTTCTGTGACTAATTGAAGACAGGAAAAAACTTGGTGAAGGCCAAGATGGAGAGAGAACCCAAGGGAAAACAGTCAATCTAGTCATCCTTCTTTGAATTAGGATTAGCTGGAGAAAAAGTATTAGGAAGAGGTGAAAACACCACCCTCCCTTCTTCCTCCCTCAAAAG